TGAGAATCCACTCCCCAGTGAAAGAGGTAAAGATTATTTTTTATTTAAAAACCCAACAACTTAAAAGTCCTTGGAAATGGTCCTAAAGACATGCATCAAAAGAACATTACTTCAAGAAAATCTAAAATTTAATAAGAACAATGAGACTATGAGGCATTTGAGCCAAAATTTTCCCCTTCTCTCCTCCCTCCAAGGTCAGCATGATAGAAGCTCTCCAGCAGGGTACAGCCAAGCACATAGTCCTCTCTCCCCTCAACTCCCACTTGCAAGGTCCCAGAATGTTCCCACGGGAGACAGAACTTCTTGCCTGCCTGGAGCCATCTATTGCAGAAGCTAGGTTCTGGGGAAGAGCAGCTGAGAGGTGAAGCCTCCTTTCTACCCAGCTTGTACTCATTACAAAGAATGCTAAGACTCCCCGGGCCTCTGTGGCCTGGGAGATCTAAAGGTAGAAGATCTAAGGGCAGAAGACATCAAAGACACAAAGTAACGCCCACTCCTACCCAAATGTCCAATTTCTGAAGCAAGAGTCACTCAAGCAGAACTATGTCATTTTCCCTTGTACTCAACTACAGAACTTTGGATCAGAATTTCTGCTTGGGGCTAGGGAGGTGGGGGGGTGAGGTTGGAAGGCAGGTTTCACAATCATTTCAAATCTTTCTCTCTCCCTCTTTAAATAAGAGCATATTTGTTTTTTTAAATGCTCACTTGAAACACAGACTTACACAGAGAGGGGGAGAGACAAAAATCTTTCACTTTTTGGCTCCCTTTCTAAATGGTCACAACAGCTGGACTGGGTCAGGCTAAAGCCAAGAGCTTGGAAATTCATCCAGGTCTCCCATGTGGATAACAGGGGCCAAGGCACTTGGGCCATCTTCTGCTGCTTTCCCAGTCACATTAGCAGGGAGCCGAATGGAAGTGAAATAGGCAGGACTGGAACTTGAACCAGTGTTCATATGAGATGTGAATATTGCAAGCAGTGGCTTAACTTGTGAAGCCATGATGCCAGTCCCAAGAGCACGTTATTTATTTATTTGTTTGTTTGTTTGTTTTTGCAACTCTTTTTACATGTTTGTCATATTGGCGAGGGGATTGCGGAACAATTCAGATCTTCGCGTGGGATGGGAAAATATGGGTAAGGGAAAAGACCCCACCCTCCCTCCTATGACTATAGAAGTGGAGGTGAATATATTGCACTGTTGATTGCTGCCAGATTATATCAGCACCAGGGGACAGAGGTGTTTGCCTGATTTCATCTCAGGAACTTTGATGGGGGAGGAATGTCCTGAGGTTGTTACTTAAGTAATATTGATAGTTCAGAGATGGTGGTTGCTTTGTTGTGCCAGGTATAAGATACCACTTCCTATACTTGCTAACTGTGTATGATTCAGTATGCCCATAGCCTTAGATGCTTGGTGGAGCATTTGGCCTATAGCATTGTTCAACCTATTCCTCTTTCCATCTTTTGATAAGGTACTCAAGGTTCTCTTTTAAATAGAAAAGATTGGCAGTCCTGTCTTTTGTGTGAATCCTGGTATGTTGTCTTCGCTCACACAGAGTCACCAACAGGGGTGGCCCAGTCCCATAACAGGCGTTCTATGGCGAGATCAGATATACAGGTGATGTTCCCTGAGACTGGGGATCAGGTGGAGCAGACATATCAGGCCAATTCTTAAGAACCTCAACTGAGTTGACCCCAGATCCAGCCTCCAGATCGATATGCCAGCGGGCATAGCAGCCCACCCCAGCCCACCCCTACACTTAGCCTTGTGTGCACCAGCTGGTGCTGCACTCTGGTCAGGATGACCCCCAAGAATCTCAACCCAGCTCTTATCCAGAACTGGTCTCTCTGTGACACAGCAGGTGCTGTGGAGTCAGATATAATTCCATAAATCTGTGGAGCACTCTGTGCCCTAGTGCATTGTGAAAAGCAATAGGATAATCAACTAACAATTACCAGAGCTTAGCAACCATGTGTGTCCAGGGAAACAGATGTTCAAAAACAAGATTGTAAAAAAAAAAAAATAGACTGTTTCAGGGGTAAGTGCAGATTACAGAAATTATTTGCCAAAGTGATCAGTGTCGAATTCAACCAACGAAGTCTTCAAAACAACTGAAATAAACATGTCCAAATATAAAAAAATGAAAAGAAAAAATGCGAGAATTAAGCAGTGGAAACAGGGACAACAGTGAGCTGTGCAGGCACTGAGCTGAGAGCAAACTCACTGAGTTCAGTGCATTGCACTGGTCCCACATTGAAAGCAATGGCAACGTTGGCATCTTATGACACAAAATACGTCCGTATGGCCCTCACACTTAACAACAAACAGGTTCCAGCAACATCAATACCACCAACAACCTAGCTATATAGGACACCTGATGTCTCCCTAATCCTGGCACCTGCTCCAACCGGAAGAAGGAGAAAGGTTGTACAGGCAACAGTGCAGCCTCAGCACAGGATCAAAGGAGGTGGAGAGTGGTGAGCCAGGAGCTGGGGCTACCAAGACTGTGGTGGAACTCTAACATAAGAATCCATACCTGGAACTCTCTGGAGGGAGTGACACAAGTGAATACAAACAAAGAGCCATGTGCTAACAGCAGTAAGTAAAATCGAGCTGCAAACCTGTGGGTGACAGAGCTTAGAAACCTGCCCCCAGGAGAAGGATCTGCTAACCAGAAGTACAATGACCAAGAGCAAAAGAGGAGACGGGGCACTCTGAATATTACTGAAGATTCTCTTGCAAAGGAGCAAAAGTCTTTGCCAACCTCAAAGGTAGCTGAGGCAGACATCGAGAAAATGGGGGATACAGAATTCAAAACACTTGTTATAAAAGCTTCTTATCAACAATAAGAAGCACATAAAGGAGTTCAAGAAATTTAAGGAATATGTCACACTGCAAATAGCTTGAAGCAAAATTAAGCCAAATTATTGAAAATTAAGGATGCGATGGAGCAAATTAAAAATTCAGTGGAAAGTTGAAAATATTTCTTGAAAGAATGATGAAACAATGAAAAAGCTGGAAGCAGAGTTGTGTCAAGCTAAAAAAAAAAAATTCAAGAATTAAGAGACATTATTAAAAGTACAAATATAACAGTCATGGGAGTCCCAGAAGGTACAGAAAGAGAAGCTCTATTTTAAAATGTGTTTAATGAAATAATTAAGGAAAATTTTCCTAATCTGAAGAAAAAATTGAGAAACAAAATACAGGAGGGATACAGAAGGAAGATATCATTAAATGTGCATGTGAAAAAAATCAATTCACATATAGAATAATGACAATCAGATTCACAGCTGACCTCTCACAGGAAACTCTACAGGCCAGAAGAGAATGGAGCAACATATTCCAGATTCTAAAAGAAAAAAAAAATCAAGCCAGGATAACATACCCAGTAAAGTTTTCCTTTGTCTTTAAAAATGAAATAAAATTTTCACAGTGAAGAAAATTTAAAAGAATATGACTTTCCAAACCTGCCCTAAAATTGTACTTGAAAATGTCCTCTTGACAGAGAAAAGGAATAGCACCCACCAAAACCAAAGGCAAGTGTGAAGAACATTCCAGTGAAATAATGACTAAATCAATGAACAGCCCAGTGCTAAAATGACAGGCCCAAATTACCACCTATTTATGTTAACCCTGAATGTAAATGGCTTAATTCATCAATCAAACATCATAGATTAATAGACTGGATTAAAAAAGAAAACCCATCTGTTTATTGCCTCTAAGAGACACATATCTCACCAACAAAGATCAGCAGAAACTACATCTCATGAATTGTGATGTTTTTGTTCCTAGTTTCATTTCTTCAAAACACTTTTTGTCTCAGTAAATTCTTCACTGAAACATGGATCATACAGTAGCAGCATGTTCTTCAAGAAGGTTCTTGATTTTCTTTTTCATTTCTTCAGTGCCACATCAGTCATTCAGTAGCATTTACTTAACTTCGTGGTCTTGTTAATTTCTTTTTTCTTGTTATTGATTATGTTTTGTGGTTTTTCATTTAAAGGGATGTACAGTAACTGTGTAATGGAGTCTATCATATCCAGATGTGAAGGTACTATGCAGTATGCATGCATCTCTAGTTGCAGAACAAAGATGGACTCCCAATAAAATTGTTAAATATGTCTTGACAATAGGATGCTGGACTCTACCATTGTTCATTGCCCACAATGTTAGACATATGACTGTGCATGAAGAACTATAATATTGTAATAATATAGGGGAACTCAGTGAGGTAGAAGTGGGAGATGATTTGGGGAGCAGGTAAGGGAAATCCCAAGGCTTACAGAGCTGTATCATTTTGTGATAATAATAACAACCAAAAAAAGGAAAGCCTGGCCTCTTTCCAAAGATATGTTCAGAAGCCAATAATTTCTAAGTGTGTTTTAAGAAAAAAAAAAAAAGATTTTCTTAAAAATAAATCTTTACAAGCCAGTATGCTGTAAATATTGTCATTTATTTGTAGTCCCTAAAAAACTTTTATAATTTCTTAATTATTAAATTATTTTTTTGCTTCTGTTGTGCTAAATATTGCTTACAAGGCACCCTTTTTAGAAACAGCGTTCTTTAAAAGTATACAATTGTTTAAAACTTGGAACAGAATAAAAAAAAGTATCCAACAGGAATAGTAAAATCACGCACTCTTATCCTTACATTATTTTCCAACCTTTCCCTCCTTCCATCCATCCATCAACTTTCTCCGTCTTAAGGCTGTGTGTGTTTCAGGGAAACTGGTGGACTTGGGGGCTTGAAGAAGGGGAGAGGGCCGACTGGGAGCTGGAGAGAGAAAGATGATTGTGCAAAAGAGAAGAAACGGTTTATCATCCCTAAAACCTGGATCATCCCTGGTAACCTGAGCCAGGCAGATACTCCGAGGTTAGGATACCAGTTTCATTGTCTCTGATTGGGAAATAAGAGAAAAGATTGACAGCATCAAGTGGAGGGAATGCGGTGGGCGGGTGGCAGTGGTGGTGGGAGGGGTCATAGAGGAGTAAAGCTCATTGATGACGCGGTGCTCACGTGACCAGGAGTCGACGTGTGCAGAAGTCCTTATAGTCCAGGGCCTGTTTCCCTATAACAGCTCCCTATTGCTGGAGCGGGAGGAAAGTGCTCAGGATCCTTTCAGGTCAGTCTAAAAGTGGGCTCTGACTTGTGTAGATTTGGCAGAGAGCGGAAAGTGAGCCAGGCGGCTCGGCTGTGCTTTTCCTAAAGTAACTGCTCTATGAAATACCCGTTTTTTTCTGCAGATTTGTGATTGTTTGTTCGGGGGCAGCGGGTGGAGAGGGAGAAGGGTAGCTAATTGCGGGACGGAGGGTCGTGGAAACAAGATTGGCAAAAACTGCCGGCTGGGAAACGGTGGGGAAGAAGAGGGCGGGGTTGCCATAAAAGGAGCTAGAGGTGGGGATCTAGGCAACTTTAGATTCACCAGGCCGAGAATCCTGAAAGGGATCCTTGATCCTAGTACTGGCCTCTTTACTTAGCACTTGTGTCTGCCTGCAGGACTGTCAGTCTTTGGCCGCCAACAGACATCAAGGTGAGGGGAACGGAAAGAAAGTCTGCTGTACTCGTGCAGGTCAGTGTAAGGGTGCAAATACTTCCGCTCCCTTTGGGTGAGGGTGGAAATGTACTTGGCGCCAAGGGCGCTGCAGCCTCCCCTTTTTCAGAGTAAGTGCCTCGCCTAAGGCCGGTTCAAACTCAAAGGAAAGGGAGGTGGCGGGGGTGGGGGTGGGGGAGAGGCTAAAGACCCAGCGCGGGGGGGGGGCGGAGATTAGACTCTGGAGCATCCTTCTCAGGTAAAAGGCTGGAGGTTAACACAGCTTGGGACAAGCTCCAAAGGGCGGGAGTGTTAGAGACCACAGGCGAAGGAAGGGTTAACTGCTTCTGTGCTGCTCCCATTTCGGTGCCGGGAGAGGTTTGGAGCAGGGCCTGCTGGGAAAATGGTGGGCTGGATCTGGAGGAGACAAGATGGAGCTGGAGTGCTGGGGGGAGCGAGGGGGTGGAGGAGGGGTGGAGTCAGGGAGTTCTGAGCCTGAGGAGTTAACCTCTAGTGGGCCGTTAGGGACCTGCTGCAGAAAATCTGGGAACACTCCGGTAGCTTGTCTCTTTGCCTGGCACCAAGTCATGTTGTTTTCTTTGATTTCCAGGATTAATTTATTCAAAAAGGAAATAACAGAGAAACAACATGCAAAAGTCTTGTGAAGAAAACGAAGGAAAACCACAGAACATGCCAAAGGCCGAAGAAGTTGGCCCTGCCCCAGAAGTACCACGGGAGGCAGAAAACAATCCTGAACCTGCCCAAGAAGTAAGCCTGGAGGCAGAAGGAAACCTGGGAGGAGGGCCAACTCAGCCTGGCTCCAGATTTAAAGAGAACACTCCCATCCGGCATTTGGACCCTGAAGAAATGATAAGAGGGGTAGATGAGTTGGAAAGGCTTAGGGAAGAGATAAGAAGAGTAAGAAACAAGTTTGTGATGATGCATTGGAAGCAAAGACATTCACGCAGTCGTCCTTATCCTGTGTGCTTTAGGCCTTGAATTCTTTTTTTTTTTCTGTCTGATACTGAAATCTGGCCCCTGCTTTCCTTCTGTTAGCATTTTCATATGTATCTTTAATATTCATTTTACCTTTATTCATCTGGTGGCATTTTGTTTTATATAATTTTCCTTTTACCAGCATCTCATTGGATTTTGATCCAATTTCCAGCCTATATTCCAATTGGGAATTTCCACAAATATGCATGGAAACACATTTATTACATATTGTAAAGTAAAACATAACAGTACAAAAATATTTAAGTATCTACTCACACATACAGGATAAAATTCCAAATGGTGTGTGTATACACACAAACATATTATCAAAACTTTAACTACTTGTTTCTGTGTGACGTGTTTTGTTTTACTTTTTGCTTATGTGTATTTTTTAATGAATCCCTGTATCAAAAACACAAACAAGTATTAGGGATTTTTTTATACATATATGTAAGAGTCAGGTAATTTTGCAACCAGCTTATATGGGCAATAGGGGCAACCTAATCTCTTGAAAGAATTATTAAAAAAATGTAAACCTCAATTTACTTCTGGATCTCTTCTCCAGGGGAATAAAACTGGCATTTATTACAAATATACGTGCTTAAGACTTGGTCTTTTCACTGGGAAAATATTTGCTTCCTCGAGTTGCTATGGGTAAGACAAGAGGCAATAACTGAGCTGGGTTTGGTGGGCTTTGTTCCTGCCCCAAAGTATAGAATCTTAGACTGCTGCAGAGTCATCAATTACTTGAGGGAGGCCCTGGCTTGACTTGAACTATGCTCATGAGCAAGTCTCATAGCAAGGATGGGGATTTCCAGGGCAGTACTCTGCTGCTGAGCCCTTATGTGTTTTCTGGCTTCTGCTGTGCCTGATGGGCACTGCCACATTTTCCACTGTATCCTCTGTTGCCCACTCCCACTCCTGCCACCACTGTGTTTGATTAGTCGAGTGCCAAGACTCTGCTGAGTATTCTAGGGCTCTCAGTGTGTTTAATTCCTACTCTGTTCAAAAGTCCCTCTCTTCCATATGGTGACACTATAGGTGGGACCACCCTAAGATGGCTTGGTCACATGTCTGGTGCAGTCTTTAGCAGAATAGCCCCTTCTGTTTGCAGTCACAAGACCCTCTGTCCCCAGAGAAGTCAGAGATGGTGTGTGGGAGCTGGACTGGGGCACACATAGGAGTGAAAGCCATCACGGTCTAAGTCAGAGTTGCTGCCCTAAGTCTAGGGAGTGAGGGTTTGTCCTCTTGTGAGATCTTCTCTCCCTCAGAGCTCCTGTAAGAAGCATTTCTGGTTCAGAAGTCTTGAGGGCATGTGAAAATGACAAGAGGTGACACAGGAACAAATCTGAGCCGTGTCCACACCTTCCTCTCCCACTGCTAAAATGTGAAAAGAAAACACACACACACACACACACACACACACACACACTTGAGAAGGAATTAAGAATGCTATGCGAGTACTTAAATGAGTGGGATAGATCGGATTCTGTTTAAATGTTAGGGTTTATATCTTCCCTATATAACAATAACTCTTCCTCTTGGCATCCTGAAATACTTATGTTTGACACACAGTGATACTGTGTTTTAATATTTATTTTGAAGTGAAAAACCGATTATTACTAGAGTCAGTACATTTGTACAAATTGTTATTGAATAAATAATCTACAAGCCTATTTTAGCTCACTTGTTCAAGGGTTGAGAATGTTAAAAACTCATTTGAGGGTTTATCATACAAAGAAAAATCATAAAAAGCTTAACCTCCAGTTATGGTTCCACTGGGGCTTGAACCCAGGACCCTCTGCGTGTAAAGCAGATGTGATAACCACTACACCATGGAACCTCTGCGGGGATTTTGCTCCTCTTGGGATATAATAAGCTATTACAAAAAGAAGCAGACCAAGGAATTGAGTAACTTCAAATGTTTTATCACAGTATTTCACAGAACAGCTTGCATCAGATTCACCTGCATTTTGAAAATACTGATTTCTGAGCCCCAAATAAGAGCCACAGACACCCTAGAGAGGAGCTGTAAAAGATACATAGCTAATAAGCTTTTTTTTGGTAATTAATAAGGCAAACTAAAGCATGAGGACTACCGAATTGCTTTGAATTATGTATGAGAAACATAAGATAATTAGAAAGGAAATATTGGCAACTGCTTACTTACATTTTGGAAATAGAAGACCTATATAAACATGTATTTTTAATGGAAAAGATTGATGAATATTTTATATGTAAAATACAAATGAAGTTAAGAAAGAAAAAAACTTTTAAAAAGAAGGAATGCAATACAAGATGCATTTTTGACTGTATTCAGCAATACATTCTTTCCTTCTAATATGAGTTAGATAGATAAAATAAATTCTAAATCTTTGTTTTTCCTGTAATCAGCCCAGAAAACAATGAGCCAGTGAACTCCATGCCCTTGGCCTTGTTTTGTTTCACATTTTGTTTTTAATTTTTCACTATCATTTTGGGAGTACTTCATGTATCCAGGCCGTGCTTCAAGGTTATGGCAGCCTGAAATTCTGGCTGGCGTGTGATAAGGTACAGGGGAGAGTGGCACGTTCCCACGGCAGACTAAATCTATCTCTCTGGTGTTCAGGCAGCACGTGGAAGAGCTCACCCTCAGCCTGCAGCAGACACCAGCCCCTGCTAGGCTGCTGGCTGGGCTGACCTGGACACACACACCTGGGGGAGGGAGGATGGCCAGAGTCCATCCGAAGCGGGACACAGCGCTTTGCCTTTCCCTCTCTTTCCCCTTCTTTTCTGGAGACCACTGTGCACGGGAGGAGAGGATGAACTCCCAAGCTTCCTAGACACATTGGTTCTTGGAGCACGTGAATGTCCTGACTGGGTCAGACCAGGTGACTTGGGGTCAAAGTAGAAGAGGTAGGCCCTTCTGTGAATCTAGTGAAGCAGCTCCCAAAAGAGCTACACCTAAAATGACATTATGCAGCAGATAGGACTCACCCTGCCTTCGGCATACCGTGCTCAGAGTCTGGGGGGTGGGGAGGTTCGGGTGTGTTCTGGCCTGTTGCTGGGTTCTGTAGTATGTGCCTGCCTGGTGTTGTGCATCTGGTGTCTGGGTCAGCCCAGACCCAGTTTACAGAGCACTCCAGGTAAACAAAGCTGGCAAGCACACCCAGAAAAACAGGGCATCATCTCCTGTCTAAATACCCACATGCACTGTGAGTCCTGTCTACCACATAGGTGCTAGGGAGCCATGCTGTGAATTGATGTGACAATGATTTTTTTTTCCTTTTTTAATTTATTACTTTAAATCTTGCTTCTTGTTATTAATATTGTTTTATGATACAACTCCATAAGCACTGGGATTTCCCCTAATCAGTTCCGAAATCCTTTCCCCCTCACTGAGTTCCACCATATCTTTACTATAGTATAGTTTTTCATATACAGTCATATGTCCATCATTGCGGGCATGGATAATGGCAGAGTCAAGCATCCTATTGTCAAGATAAATGTAAACATTTTCATTGGGAGTCTGTTTTTGCCTGGAAGTAGAGATGCGTTGTGCACTGTATCTTCACTGTATCTTCTGGATATGATAGTCTCAATTACACAGTTACTATACATCCCTTTAAATGAAAAACCACAAAACATAACAGCAAGAAAGAAGAAATTAACAACACCATGAAGTAACATGCAGCTGAGTGACTGATGTGGCACTGAAGAAATGAAAAAGAAAATCAAGAACCTTCTTGAAGAACATAATGCTACTGTATGATCTATGTGTCATTAAGGAATTTAATGAGTGTTTTGAAGAAATGAAACTAAAAAAAACATCAAAATCTGTGAGATAGACTTTCTGCTGATCTTTGTTGGTGAGATATGTCTCTTAGAGGCAACAAACAGATGGGTTTTCTTTTTAAATCTTTCTACTAATCTATGATGTTTGATTGATGATTTTAAGCCATTTACATTCAGGGTTAACATAAATAGATGGTAATTTGGGCCTGTCATTTCAGCACTGGGTTGTTCATTGATTTAGTCCTCTGTTGTCATTTCACTGAAATATTCTTCGCATTTGCTTTTGGTTTTGGTGGGCGCTATTCCTTTTCTCTGTCAAGAGAACATCTTAAAGTATCATTTGTAGGGCAGGTTTGAAAGAGGCATATTCTTTTCAATTTTCTTGATTGTGGAAGAATTTTATTTCATTTTCAAAGACAAAGGAAAGCTTGGCTGAGTATGTTACCCTGGGCCGAATTTTTTTTCTTTTAGAATCTGGAATATGTTGCTCCATTCTCTTCTGGCCTGTAGAGTTTCCTGTGAGAGGTCAGCTGTGAGTTTAATTGGCATTCCTTTATGTGTCAGTTGATTTTTTTCCCATGCACATTTAAGGATCTTTTCCTTATGTTTGGTGGAAGAGAGCTTGATGATCATGTGTCTTGGTGAAGATCACTTTTGGTCAAGCCTGTTGGGAATTCTGTGCCAGCGCCATCCCCCCCCCCCCCCCCCCCCCCCGCAGGTTGTTTCCCAATTCTTTCTCTGGATTGGGGAAAAATTTCCCTTATTATTTCATTGAATGCACCTTTAATCCCAACTTCTCTTTCTGCATGCTTAGAAACATCTCATTCACATTTCTAATATATCAACTGCCAGAAAGTGTGAAATCATGAAGAAAATCTCACTGTGATGAATTAGAAAATGTGATGTGAAATGTATAATTGGCATGAAAAGCTGTTTATGACAATTGTTCCATGAAAACTTTGTTTTTAAAAAACATACAGGTTAATGGTAAACATCAAAATGTTGGAAAAATGTTTCTGGTTGAGTATGTGGAATTTTCACAATTTGAAAAAGCTCATAAAGATGATGAAGACACCTTTTCTTTCTTTCTTTTTTTTTCACTGTATCAACATTATATTGGGTTACTTTGGTAGTCGAATTACAGGAATTGATGTGACACAATTTTAATAGTCATGTCTTTTTTTTTAAGTTGTATTTCATTTTATAACATCGTTTCACAGGCTCTGATGTTCCCCCATCCCTCCCCGTGCCCCCTGCCCCATGGTGGATTGCCCCACCTAATTGCAGTATTACAGACCTTACTAGGTAGGACACGAAAATAAATTACTCCTAACCAGGTATGGAGGATTTCTCCGCACACCCCTCCCAACAGTGTTCTATGACTCAACTGGTGTCATATGCCTTGTTAAAGCTATAAACCAGTTTAGACTATCCTAAAATATGCCAAATTCAGTAAAAATTATGCTTCAACACAATAAACTGCTAAATACTAAAATGACATGAGACAACTGAATAGTATCCAATAGCCATTTTAAGGTAGATAGAAGCCAGTTGTATACAAACTATAATTGAAATGTTAATGAAGTAGTCACAGGATGTGGTTAAGAACCCACATTTTCTAATATATCAGTTACTCAATACAATGTTAATTAACCCTATAATGTTGGAAACTGTTGCTGATGTTAAGTTATGGCTTTTAATTTGTCGGAACAATATTCTGCCAACTATACCTTCAGATCAGAGTTGGTCTCCCCAAGAAACTGTTGAATTGAGCTGGACAATAAGGTGCTGGACTCTATGCATGGCACATGCTTGCAATG